CTCCCAAAATGCTGGGATTACAGGCGTGAGCCACCACCATGCTCAGCCTTTTCCATGTAATTCTACATCAATCTAAACAATCTTATCTATTTCTTCAAAAAAAAACTTGCTGTAATTTGACATTGATTAAAGTAATTTTATATATATATGATTATATATACATAAAACTTTGGAAAAAATGAACGTTTTAAACAATTTTCAGTTTTCTAATCCATAAACATGATATGTATCTGCATTTCTTAGGCATTATTCAATTTTTCTCAGCAACGTTTTGTAGTCTTCAGTATAAAGATCATACATAAATTTGGCTAGATTTATGCATAAGCATGTGTTTTTTCATTGATGCCATTGTCAATTTGTTTCATTTTTGTTTATTGCTAACATATAAAAATACAATTAAATTTATATATTGATCGTACATTCTATTACCTTCTTAAATTTACTTATTACTTGCAGTAGTTAGTAGATTTATTTGGGTCTAAAGAGAAATTTAAATTTCATTCCCACTGTTGTTTTCTATTTCACTTCTCCATGTCTTCCTCCCAGAGGCATCCCTAGTGCTAGATTTTTAAATCCCTTTTCAGAAATATCCCATCCGTATGCAAACACCAATAGTATTACATTATACACTACATATAATTCTCTTATTTGAAAGTCTCTCATCTTACCTTTCTGGGAGAATCAAATTTATTACTAGTATCACATATATTATGTGATAATATGTTTAAAATGAAAACAAGTTTCTATATACTATATTTGTTTTCTCCATACTTACTCCATACTTTCTCCAACACTTGAAAAGGGGAGTAATGAGATATTTGAATTCCATTTAACAATATAAACTAATGTAAAACATTATATATTGTGAGCATTTTATATTAACTCTGGAGGTAATATAATGTGGAAATATATATGTTCTGTTTTATATCAGTTTTTTGAGCCAGTGATTTTTAATTCTGGTTTCTCATTGGAATCATTGACTAGCTTTAATGAATACTGATGTCTGGATCATACCCCAGAGAGTCTGATTTTATTGATTTGATATGGGATATGGTTTGGGCAAAGAGATATTTTAAAGTTCCCCAAGTGATTTTAATGTATAACCAATTTGAGAACCGATGTTTTAGACCTTACTCATACAGTCCCCCTCTAAAATGTGTCTCTGTGTGTGTGTGTGTGTGTGTGTGTGTGTGTGCACGCGCGCACGCGCGTGCGCGCGCACACACCTCAAGGGAGGTTTGAAATGCAGAACAATGCTGTGTAGTTTGTATTTGGAATTTTTACAAGTAATTTCATGGATCAAAAAACTTAAATAACCTGGAAACATAAAATTTGTATAACTTTACATAAGGCAATTAATGTTTCCTGCATTACTCTGTCTTCACTCCCCAAAAGGAAATTTTAGCAATGAACTCTAACTTGTTTTTGTCAAGAAATAGGTGCAGGTATTTTTAAACACAAACTATGATACAAATGTTTAAATATAGAAAAAAATACAAAAGGGATTTAGGAAAAAATTGATTGTCAGTACCAAATACTAACCTTTGGCAGTCAAGGAGAATTGTTATGCTGAGAATTAGTGTTATAAAACTGGATTACATGGGCTATTTTTCTGGTCTAGTCTGATCTTTCTTATTTTCTTATATTCTAAAATTTTAAGACATTATT